CAACAGGAAACCTTTCCAGAAACATCCGTTGACCGCTGTAAACACAGCAGATGCTGGCTTAAAACAACCCCCAATTTAGCCTTCCTATTTTTAGCAGCCGTGCCTTGCGTTTTATTTACCAAAATTCGGAGGTGAGTCAAGATGCGTCGGGCCGCCCAAATAGCCACAAAATGCTCACAAGAGACTGACCTGGCCATTGTTTGCCGAAACCTCCATCCTTAAGACGTGGCTAAAAATAGGGCAGTCAAAACGGAAAGGTTTAATGGGATCGAAATGCCGACTATTAATAGGGGGGGGGGGAAAGAAAGAAGTTGAGCAGGAAGAGGATTAAAAAAAAAGCAGGAAAAAAAAATGTATACTGGCGTAAAAAAAAAAAATAGCCGCTGCTAAAAAGCAGAGAATTGAAGAAGTAGCTTGGGGTGCCGCAGTTTCCGCTTGGGTTTTCATTATCGGCAAGGATTTTAGTTCGATCTAAGAGCTTCTTTTGCTGGGATCCAACCACGGGCTCCGGGCTTTAATTACGTTCCTTTTCCTGGTTCCCTTTGGCTGTCCCAGGAGCAGGCTGGCCCTCTTTGCCGTTCATGAAAAACCTCCAGAGCTAGGAGCAGAGGCTGGGCCAGTGCAGTGGTTATTGAAGGACTAAAAGGGGTGGGAGCCTTGGTGCTCACTGAGCTGGGTTGTTTTGGCTGATGATGTTCCCTAGTTGGGTCATGAAATGTCTTCAAGGAAATCACCAAGCTGAGAGAGCATTAAGGATCCCAAAGACCACCTCCTCCAATCAACAGACCCCACTCCCTTCTAGCACTGATGATCTTACCTAGTTGGGTCATGAAATGTCTGCAAGAAAACCACCCAGCTCGGAGAGCACCAAGGACCCCACAGTCCTCCTCCTCCTCTTCTTCCTCCTCCCCACCTCCTTCCCTTTCTCCTCCTCCACTCAACAGACCCCACTCCCTTCTAGCACTGATGATCTTACCTAGTTGGGTCATGAAACGTCTGCAAGAAAACCACCCAGCTCTGAGAGCACCAAGGACCTCACAGTCTCCTCCTCCTCCTCCTCACACCCCATTCCTTTCTAGCACTGATCATGTTCCCTAGTTGGGCCATGAAATGTCTGCAAGAAAATAACCAAGCTCGGAGCTACTGTGCATAAACACTCACGAGCACGGACGATGTCACCTAGTTGGGTCATGAAACGTCCGCCAAGAAAACAGCCCAGCTCTGAGCTACTGTATATAAACAGGGAGCAAGTCACACTCGCTAGCCCTGAGGTTGTTACCTAGTTGGGTCATGAAACGTCTTGAAGAAAAGAACCAAGCTCGGAGAGCACCAAAGACCCCTCATTTCAACCCTGAGCTACAGATATTCTTTTAAGACTTAAGAGGGTTGGCTAAAAAGGCCGATCAGATTATTTGATATTTGCATCCAGATTCACCCTCTCGTGCCCCATCGCACAAAGGTCGAGAAGGAAGTCTTCACCCAAATTCAAAGCAGACGTAATCTTAATAAGATCTCTGCAGTGTTCTTCCTTGGAAAGTTACAGGTGATCCTTGAGTTATAGCCACAGTTTGAAGTGACAGCTGCATTGAAAAGAGTGACTTGGAGGACATTTACAACCACCGTAACATCCTCCTGGTCGTGGACCAAACTGAACTAATTTAACTCCTTCCAATTCTAATTTCAACTCGTTCTCCAGCCGTTTGGAGCCTCTGCCTCCTCCAATTCTCCTTCGCAGAAAACCGCTCAGGCTGGGATTTATTAGCCTGGAACCAAATTGGGAAAAAAAGGGGCACCGTTTTGCCCTGGCAAAATTTTAATTACCAGCATCGTTAAAAAGAGAGAGAGCGCAAACAAAAGCTTTCCGCCTCCTTGCTGAAATTAGAAAAAGATAATGGAGGGCACATGCCAGCCATAATTTTGATAGATCTCTTCCTGGACACATAAAGGCAAACCCGGTGAGGGAGACAATGTCCTTGTTTAATGACTGCAGCAAAAAGCGCCCAGTGCATTACCAGGGAGATGGGGGAAAGATGGGAAGAGATAAGTCCTCAACTTACGACCGTTGAGGCCGGAATTTCCACTGCTAAGCGAGACAGCTGCTAAGGGACCTTTGCCCCGTTTCACGATCTTCCTGGCCACGACTGTTAAGCGAATCCCTGCAGTTATTAAGTGAATGACCCGGTCGTTAAACGAATCCGGCTTCCCCGACTTTGCTTGTCAGAAGGTCGCAAAAGGACATGGCAACCGTCGTCAATCGGAACTGGCAAGCGTCCGAATTTTGACGTGACCGTGAGGATGCTGCAATGGTCATTAAGGACCAGAAGACCTTCAAGATCCCTCCCAGCTCTATTCTATTCAACTATTCAAGTGTGGGAAAACGGCTGTTAAGTCACTTTTTTTTTCATTCCAGTTGTAACTTCGGTCTCCAAATGAAAGGTCAAGTGAGTCAAGGACTCCGCGTACACAGAAAGGAGAAGGAAAACTAATTTATGATGGTTCACATGGACTAGAAACACGTCCCAAGATTTTGACCCTGGTGGATTCTGCAGAGAATCCCTTTTGCCTTGAAGGACTTAAATTACTTTTTGTAAGAACGACTACCTCGCCCTCTCTAAACCGCCAATCTGAACGGTGGTTACAAAAGTCGCCCCCCCCCCCAGTCTTTCCAAGAAGTGCAAAATGGAAGACGTGAGCAGATTTAATTTATATATTCCCAGCCTTCGCGTGAGAGGCTATTCTCAAGTCTCAAATTGATCCATCTGTTTCTCGGAGAGGAAAAAAATAATAATAATGTCACATTTGAATTCCATCTCTAGGAACAAGTTGCCTACACAGCGCTGGGTTTTTTTTTCCCCCTCCCAACATTATTTCCCCTCTGCAAACATCCACCACATGGTGTTTCCAGCCTGTTGGGTGATGTCAGATTGAAAAGTCCGGGGTTAGCAGACTGCAATGGAGGGCTGAACCCTCAGTTCTACTTTGCATTAGAGCAAAGAGCAACGAAGATGGTCAGGGGACTGGAGGCTAAAGCATATAAGGAACGGTTGCTGGAATTGGGTCTGTCTAGTTTAAGGAAGAGAAGGACGAGGGGGGACATGATAGCAGTCTTCCAGTATCTCAGGGGCTGCCCCAAAGAAGAGGGAGTCAAGCTATTCTCCAAGGCGCCTGAAGGCAGGACGAGAAGCAACGGGTGGAAACTCATCAAGGAGAGAAGCAACCTAGAACTAAGGAGAAACTTCCTGGCAGTTAGAACAATTAACCAGTGGAACAACCTGCCTCCAGAAGCGGTGAATGCTCCAACACTGGAAGTTTTCAAGAGACTGGACAGCCGTTTGTCTGAAATGGTAGAGGGTTTCCTGCCTGAGCAGGGGGTTGGACTAGATGACCTCCAGGGTCCCTTCCAACTTTATTATCATCTCAAAGAGGCAGAAAATGGGCAAGAAGAAGGCTGGATGTACACTCAATTTCATAACATGGCGTTCCCTCCCAGTTTCAACGGAGAAGCTATACAGATCGTCCTCGGCCTACGCTTAAAACTGACCGTTCCAAAGTTACGACGGCACCGACAAAGTGATTTATGACTGTTTTTCACACTTAGGACAACTGCAGCTTCCCTGGGGGGTCACCTCATCAAACTCCAGGACTCGTATTTATGACGGTGGCAGCGTCCCCGGGTGTGTGTGTCACGCGATCAAAATTCGGAGGCTTGGCAACTGACTCGTATGTATGACGGTCACGGAGTCCCCGGGGGTCACGCGATCCTCTTTTTGTGACCTTCCGCTGAGCAAAGTCAACGGGGAGGGGAGGGAAAGCTGGATTCCTTTAACCAGCGTGTCGCTAACTTAACAACTGCAGCGATGGGCTTCACAGCGTGTGCAAGGGAGGTCGTAAAAGGGGAGGGGGAACCACACTTAGCAGCTGTCTCACCGAGCGGCAGCGATTTGGGGCTCAGTTGCAGGTCGTTAAGCCGAGGACTCCCCGTGCCGCAACTGGCACCCCCACCCTCAAATACACCCCTTCGTCTTGGGTTTATTTGCAAAACGCCGAACACCCCACGGGGTGCCTTTGAGCCAGGGTGCAAGGCCAGGATACGGGTTTTCAGCTTTTTATTATTCTCTTTTTAAGAACCCCTGAGGAGAGAGAGAGAGAAGAGAGAGAGAGAGAAAAAGAGAGATTTGGCAGTATACTATAACACAGGAACGGCCGATCCGTTGTTGGGCACAGAGGAGGCCCACGAAAGCAGGAGCTGAAGGGCAGGCCGGCATAAATAAGCTGAGGGTTTTCCGCCAAAAGTTTTTAGGAAGGTTTAAAAACAGCCCCTTGCGGGAACGCAAGAAAGCTGGTCCTGCAGCACCACAAGCAGCAGCAGCAGCAGCAGCGTCGTTCGAACGGGCGTCTGTGTGAAAGTCACTGCTGTTGTCGTCACGACTCTCGTCCCTCCCTGGCAGATGGTTCCATCTTCGGCTTTTGCTTGTTGAGCAAGGAGCATCCCCTACGCTAGCTGCAAATTCCCGGGGGAGACTTTTGCTCTCCTTGGAGATGCCGGTTGCTCAAGCCAAACTCAGTGGGATCCGGTGGGGTGAAGAATGCCAGAAGCCCATCCTCCACTTCCCTCCTCTCCTCCTCCTCCTCCTCCTTCCAACCCAGATTCGTGCAAAGGGTTCCTTTCTCCCATCTCCCTCTCGGTTCACACGAGCCCCAAACCCCGAAGGTTCTGCCCAAAGTTTCTGCAGACTCCGATCGATCGGCGATGGCTTTGTACGGGGCCCGTTTGTCCATCGGCGGATGCTAATCGCTTTTTTTGGGGGGGGAAACCTTGGTTTTCAGACCGAGAAATGGGGAGAGGGGCACTGCTTGAGGAAGTTGGCGAGGAGGGGGGAGGAGAAAGCCAGGTGGGCCAAGGTGGGTCTTGTTAGGCTGCCAGTTGGCTGTCTTCCGAGTCGCCACGGACAGGCCGCCTTAGCCGGATTTCTTGATCCTGCTGGAGAGAAGAGGAAACGGGGAACTTTATTTGATTGGGCTTCGAAGCGTCCACAGTAGGCAAAAGGAAACAGGCGAAAGGAAGAAGAGGAAGAGGAATAATAAGAGGAAAGGACTACTATGGTGGTTTGGCCTGCTCGATCTACCTTCAAACCCATCTCAAATCAAGCCACAGACTCCCACAGCCTGGGGGTGGGGGGCTGGAGGAGGTGGCAGTGGAACCCCAAAAGGTCCAGGGCTACCCTTACGGAATCCGTATATATTTCCGTCTCGCTGGTCAGGAAACTGACGTAGTCGTCCTTCTGGCTGTCAAAAACCTCCTCTTCGTATTCGGTCTGGTAGTCGGATTCGTCTGAACGGGAGAGAAGTCGGAAGAGGGCTCGTTTGAAGCCAGGGTCAAGGCGGGAAGGAGAACGCTTAAGCCGGCATCCTCAGGTGACTGGATCACCTGGAGCCACTCCAAAAGATCCCCGGACCCCTCCTTTCAAGCCCTGAGCTACGGAATATCCTCCTTTCTTGAGAACGGCCTGTCTCCCTCCCTCCGTTTGCTCACCGTCCACAAGGATGGCCTTCACCGGTTCAATTCGGGAGACGATTTCAGCCAAATCCGTGAAAGAGGTGGTGGGGCAGGTCACGTACTGAAAGGGGAGGAGAAAGAAAGAAAGAAAGAAAGAAAAAAAGGATGAACAAATGCTGGGTGTCTCAGTCACGGTCAGGCCCAAGAACCAACAAAGACCTGGGGAATTACACCAGACAACTTTCTTCACTGTCTTTTGCCCACAGACAGAATCTTGCCAGATTAAAGCAACAATCTGCGTTAACTACGGATATCCTTTCGTCTTTTCCTGCCCTCTGGGAACCAGCCCCTCCCTCTCTCCTGGGAATCCAGACGACAATCCACCACGGTGACCATCCTTCGCAAAAGGAGGGAAGAATGCTTAAGCTGTAGGATAGGGGGAAGGAGAAGACAATTCAGCTCGGCTACTCAGCGCTATCGACCGGAGCCACGAGGGGCTTGGATCAATGTGCCACAGTACCACAGCCAGCTCTGTCCCTTACTTTAATTGGATGCGTTTTCTCAACATTACAGCCAACGTCCAAAAAATGCGATGACTCAGGTTTGCAATGGCAAAGCTGTCCAGAGGAAGGGCAGGGATGGGGAAGATCTGCTTTTCAGTTTGCGTAGGACGCAACAAACAAGGAAAGAAGAAGGGAGATTCTCCTTCCAGGGTTCAAAGAAGACCGGGGAGGCGGGGGGGCTTGTTAGAGTTTGATGCTGCAATTCCCCACTGAAAGCATTTCCAGCTAGTTTGTTTTTTCTCCTCTGTTCAAAATTTGGCTTATCAATCTTCCCTTTCTTGGACAGATCATCCTGTCCTTTTTAAAAAAAAAATATTGAGAAGGGGGGGTGGGGGAAGCACACACTTCCAGGCAGAAATGGGTGTGGAATTCCCCCCCCCCGGGTTTCAGACTGCGTTGGGTGGCTGGCTGGGTTAAGCATTCTGAAAAGCTTGAAGCGTTCAGCAGAAAATTGCAGAACGGAAGGAAAATTCCTCTCCAAACAAGGCTAAGCTTGTGGCTACTCAAAGAGGGAGAGGGAGAGAGAGAGAAATAGAAATAGAAATAGAAATAGAAATAGATAGATAGATAGATAGATAGATAGATAGATAGATAGATAGATAGATAGATAGATAGATAGATAGGCAGATAGATGGATAGACGGATAGGAGATAGATAGATAGATAGATAGATAGATAGATAGATAGATAGATAGATAGATAGATAGATAGATAGAGTAAAAGAGAAAGACAGAAAGACAGAGAAAAAGTGAGACAGAGAAAGAGAGGAGACACAGAGAGACAAAAAAGAGAGAGAGAAAGTAAAAGAGAAAGAAAGAGAGAAAGAGAAAGAAGATTTGCAAAGAGAAAATTTGCAATTCTCTGTTTAGAATTCCTTTCCAAAATGCCCCACATTTGGTCGGGGGGAGCCCTGGTTGGAGAGCATCCTTGTCCAAAACTTAGCGGCTGCATTTTTTCTCCGGACCGAGAAAGCCTCAGTCTGCCACATCATCTTAGAATTAAAAAATGAGTTGTTGCCCCATCTGTCTCCCAAACTGGAACATCTGGAAAGGGGGCAGCTCTGCAGGCACTGCCCACTCGGCTCTTGAGTGAGCTGGCTGCTCTCCCCCCCCACCACACACACACACACACCAGGGCACACACTCACACAGGAGGGTTTAGACTGGCAGCCTTCCTGCCGGTCCTTCAGCATCTTCTCCAGGACCCCACTCCGGCACCAAACGTTAAAAACCGTCTTCCCGTGCTGGTAGCCGACTTCCTGAAGGAGGGGAAACAAAATATATGGCAGCCACAATCGACGCTTCTGAGGCTCGGCTTGTGTCAAAGCATGGCAGTTTTGAACCCGGGGCCGCTGAATTCTGAATTCTACCTCCCTCCCCAGCCACGGATCTTCCCTTCGCGGCTTCGTTCCTCCGGCTGTCCCTCCCCGCCCCACAACGCACACAGATTTCATCGAATTTCCCAAAGTCCAGCGTCCCGTAGCGATCGATAGGCGGACGGATATATTCGCAATAGTCGCTGTTCTTGACCATCTCCAACTGCCGGACGCAACAGACGTAGGCCAGCCGAGTCTGGATCTCGGCCATGTTCAGCACCTGAGAGAGAATGAGAGAGAGAAAGAATGAAAGAATGAGAGAGAGAGAGATGGAGAGAGAGAGAGAGAGAGAGAGAATGAGAGAGAGAGAGAGAGAATGAGAATGAGAGAATGAAAGAGAATGAGAATGAGAATGAAAGAGAGAATGAGAGAGAGAGAATGAGAGAGAGAGAATGTGAATGAGAATGAGAGAGAGAGAAAGAGAGAGGTATTTGCACCACCTCCCTTCGAAAGCCACTGCAGCCAGTCCTCGACTTACGACGGTTCGTTTAACAGCCTCCCCACCCTACCTTCACTTTCTCCACTAACGGGTTCCACCGCTTCCACAGCAGCCACCAGCCGGAAAGAGCGTCGCCGTAATTGGTGAGATCCGTCTCGTCTCGGCTGCCCACGTCGATGGCAATGACGATCTTGGCTCCCATGGAGCGTGCAACGTCCGCTGTGGGGAGAAAGCAGAAGAAGGGAATGGGAAGAGGGACCTCGGAGGTCTTCTAGTCCAACCCCCTGCTCAAGCAGGAGACCCTGTAACATCACAGACAGGTGGCCGTCCAGCCTCTTCTTGAAAACCTCCAGTGATGGAGCACCCACAACGTCTGGAGGCAACTGATTTAACTGTTCTCACTGTCAGAAAACTTCTCTTTAGTTCCAGGTTGCTTCTCTCCTTGATGAGTTTCCATCTGTTGCTTTTTGCCCTGCCTACTGGTCCTTTGGAGAAGAGGTTGACCCAAGATGAACCAGCTGGCTTTCATGCCTAATGTGGGACTAGAACTCACCGTCTCCTGGTGATTGGCCCAAAGTCACCCGGCCTGATTTCATGCCTGAGGCAGGACTAGAACTCACCATCTCCTGGTGATTGGCCCAAAGTCACCCAGGTGGCTTTCACGCTTAAGGCAGGACTAGAACTCACCGTCTCCTGGTGATAGGCCCAAAGTCACCCAGCTGGCTTTCATGCCTAAGGTAGAACTAGAATTCACCGTCTCCTGGTACTTGGCCCTAAATCATCCAGGCAGCTTTCATGATTAAGGTGGGACTAGAACTCACCGTCTCCTGGTGATTGTCCCAAAGTCACCCAGCCGGCTTTCATGCCAAAGGCAGGACTAGGACTCACCGTCTCCCATTTTTCCGCCCGGTGTCTTAATCATTAAACCAAACTGGCCCAAAATTAAATTCTCCTAGACCCAGATGTTTCAGACGAGACTCCGGGCCAGCCAGTGTTGCTCCAGAGAAAAGCCCCTTCCCCAAATTCTCTCAGCTTTCAGCCCTCGGAGGACAACTGAGGTAATTCGCGACAACTGAGGTAATTCGCGAGGCCTCCATGTTCCGGCTGTCCTTCCCCCACTTGAAACCCAGCCACGAAAAGGATTTTCTCTCCAGGAAGAAAAGGGCTCTTTGTAGGGAAGAAGTGACTCAACGTCCCTCAGGGAGGCGAGGGTGAGAAGACAGGGGAAGCAAAAGGAACTGGAAAGAAGCCCGGAGAAAACGGCTACGACAAAGGTGCCCATTTTAGCTGACGGAGGAAGAGAGATTTGCGCAGCTCGGCTTTCAAATCCGCTCTCCGCACAAAGCCAGGCCGTCTCAAAGGAAGCCCAATCGCGCTCGGCAGGTGCCAGCTGAGACTTCTCGCTTGTTCTTTCTCCTTTCAGTAGAGAAAGGATGAAGAGGGTGGACATCAAGGAGTGCCGGGAGACCCAACGGACAAAGCTGGATTCAAACCCCTTTCCAGCCGCGTGAAGGACTGGATGTCCTTGGATTCAGGACTCTCCTTGTCTATTTTGCAGAGGGGGGGGGGGGAGAGGGAGAATGCACAAGAAAACCCGCAAGGAGAGCTTCACAAACACTGCAGAAAGTTGGGGCAGAACACAGGAGAAGAGAGTTGGAAGGGACCTTGAAGGTCCTATAGTCCAACCCCTGCTCAAGCAGGAGACTCTATCCCAGAGGTCCTCAACCTTTTGGGCACGGTGGAGAGAGGATGGGGCTTGGCTTGTTTGTGCAGACCTGATTACCTGGGAGGATGTTTTTTTTATATATATATATAATTTTTCCCTCCAAACTCTCCCCCATACATATACCGTGATATTTATCAGATGTTAACATACATTCTTTTTACATTCTTGTATATAAGATACTTTTAATAAAATGAAATAAATACATACACATGACTTTTGATGTTGCTCGCCCATTTCCCCTTTCACTGTATCCACACTCCTTCTTCTCTACCTTCTTTCTCCCTTTCTTCTCTTTCTTCCCTACTTCCCTCTTCTTCCTCTCCTCTTCTCTTTCCTTCCCCACTTCTCCTCCAACCTTCCTACTTCCTTCCCCCCTCCTTTACTCTTTTCTCTCTCCTCTCCTTTCTTCCCTCTCATCCCTCTTCAGATACAATTCGGGGGTAATGTCCGAGCAACCCCTCTCTCCAAATTTCCCTATCTGTATTATATACAATAAGATTAATTTTCTCTTACATTAATACTTCTATTTATCTAACCTTCTCGGTATATACTTCTATAAATATTTATGCAACCTCCACTTATTCAATATTGTGTGGCCTGGGTCTCCCTCCTTACCTGCTCCTTCTTCTTCCATCTAAATTGATGTTAACTATCTTTTAACCGTATTCTCTTTTCAGCCTATCATAAAAAGTTCACCTGGCAGGTTGTTGATGTAACCACCATCCATTAGGAGATGACCGTCTTTGGGATCACAGAGAGGGGGCAAGTAACCAGAGAGAGACATACTGGCCCTGATGTAGCGCCACAGGCAACCTTTAGGAGAGAAGAACAGATCTGTGGTCACTTCCCAGCTACCCTCGTCCCCAACGTGGAGAAGACATGGAAATATAGACTTAATAATAATAATAATAATAATAATAATAATAATAATAATAATAATAATAATAATAATAATAATAATAATAATAATAATAATAGTTGGAAAGGACCTTGGAGGTCATCTAGTCCAGCCCCTTGCTCAGGCAGGAAACCCTGTACCATTTCAGACAAATGGCCCAGCATCTCCACCTGTCATAATTCATAAAGTGAGACATCCGCTAAGCGAGTTTTGTCCCCATTTTTAGGGCGAAGTGAAGCTGGCTTCTCGCATTTGACTTCACGGGGCCGTCATAAACACGAGTCAGTTGGCAAGCAATGTCGGCTGGCGACCCCCAGGGGGAGGGCCTTCTCTGTGGGTGCCCCCACCCTCTGGAACGAGCTACCCCCCGAGATCCGGACAATCCCGGATCTCCTAACCTTCCGCCGCGCCCTCAAGACATGGCT